TTTGTTTGGGTTTTGATAAAAATAATATAAAGAAGAGAAGTATATGGGAGGAGTTGGGTAAGAGAAATAATATGACAAATATATTGTATAAATAATTTTAAAGACTACTCAAACAAAGAATGTATGTCTACTATATCACTGTGCCTGGCAGCTAGAGCAGAGGGAGGAGGATAGTGATCATATAGCAGAGGCAGCAGCAATTTCCACTATGGAGGAGGACGTGAGAAGAAGAAGACAGACCAGGTTACTTTTGGGGGATGGAGCCAACAAGGCGGTCGACTGAACTCAGAGATGATAAGACTTTCTAGGGTTCTTATTTTTAATTCTCTCTCTCTCTCTTTCCTCCGTGTGTATGTGTGTGGTGTGTGTAGTGTGTATGTGGTGTATGCGGTGTGTGTGTAGTGTCTATGTGGTATGTGTGCATGTGTGTGTTCTGTGTGTGTGGTGTGTATAGTGTGTGGAGGTGTTTGTTGATTGTGTAGTGTATACGTGGTGTGTGAGTATGTGGTGTGGTGTGTGCTCTGTGTGTGTGGTGTGTAGCGTGTGTGTGTGGTAGTGTGTTGATGTGTGTGGTGTGGTGTGTGGGTGTGGTGTGGTGTGTGTATGTTGGTGTTGTGGTGTGTGTTAGTGTGTGTGTTGTGATCATAGGACAATCTTTGGTGTTGGTCTTTGCTTTACACCATGTTTGAGATTCCCAGTCTCTTCTTCACTGCTGCCCATATCAAGCTAGCTGGCCAGTGAGCTTCCGGGAGGTCTGCTCTGCACCTCCCATGAGGATTCTGAATTTGAATTCAGATCCTTACACTTGACCAGCAAGTGCCTTACACACTGAGCCAGCTCCCTGGCTGGTTTACTCTTGTTGTTGTTGTTATTATTATTATTATTATTATTAAAATTTATCTAAGCTATCAAGGAGATGCAGAGGTCGGGGTGGAGGAAAAGTTGGCTGGCCCTAAAGCTTCCTTTAGGACAAATTAAGTGTTGGTAAGCTATTTTTTTCTGGACTGTGAACGAAGACAATGAAAACCAAACCATTAGTTGAAAACCAACTTAGCTGAATGCTGAAGTTTTCAAGTGTGCATATTGTGGTCCCTTAAATACTGCCGTGTGAGTGTCAACTCATTAAAAACGGTATTTGGTGAGCATTTGCTAAGAACATAATTCTTATGACTCTTTTCAGCCTGCTCCAGTCCTTGCAGCGGTGGGCGCATGCAAGAGAAAATTTTAATGGCCTCGAACTGACTGTTGGCATCCTTAGAGCTTCTCCATCGCTATCTTTGTTGCCACCCCTTGCCCTTCTAGGAGTCTGCCCTCCTCTGCACTGGGAACACAGCGGCTCAAGCAAGAGTTTTTCTCAGTAGCAACAGAGAGGCGACCACTGGCCCAGAAACGCGCCCCAGGAGTGGAGGAGGGGAAAACCTCCAGGCCACCCCGCGCCACCCCGCGCCACCCCGGTGCCCAGAGCGTGGAGAGCCTGCTGGGCGGTCGCCTCCCGCCACCGGCGCTCAGGCACCCCCATGCGCACACACACGCTCAGATCCCCGCTCTATGTTCAAAGTCAGGCTTTCTTCAAACGCAAAAGAACTTTGTAGCCGCCCTGGTGTTTCCTACTTTTGTTTCTGAACTCTGCTCCCCGCCCCCATTCCGCTCCGGTCTCGCGCGGGATTTCGGGGTCCCCCGGCTCCCGGGTTCCAGAACCGCACCCGCTTAACCCTTCAAAGGACGAGGGTCGCGGCGCGGTCTGAGAAACAGCGAGGAGACCCGGGTCGCCCCGAGATTCAGGCACCCCCCAGAGCTGTGACCTGAGACCTCTCGGGCACAGGCCGGGGTCCGGAGCACGCGGCAGCCAGGGGTGCGGGGTGCCGGGCCTGGGGAACAAGGCGCGGGAGTTGTGGCGCGGGGAGCAGGGTGCGGGGCAGGCGGCCACGGCTGCATGGAAGGGACCCAAGTATGGGTCCGAGAGGCACGGGCGAAGCTTTGCTGTCCAGCCGCTGGCTTCAGTCGTATCCCCGGCTGAAGGGCAGGGTGAGGGCCGGAGCAGCACTTACCTGCAGCGGTGGGGTCGGGGCGCTGAGAGAGGACGACATCAGCGGGCCAGGGCCTGCGGGTCCTACCGTGCTCTGCCCTGCGAGGCTCTGGCCGCCAGACACACTTCCTCAATCCTGCGGCCGCCTGGCGGGCGGAGAGGGCGGGTGGCGCGGAAGCAGGGCCGCGCCAGAGGGTCCGCTGCCCACGGCCTCGGCAGACGAGGACGCGGACCCCCGGATGGCCTGCCTCGGTTTCCCTAGCTGCTAGATAGATGCCGGTGACCAAGCTCACTGCTCGCGCTTTGGTAGACGCTAGGGCCCTGGGACTTTGTAGGGTCTTCTCCAAGTTAGGATGCCCTGCTGTCTTTTCTGGGGACAGACACAGTGACAAGACTGCTCCGGTCTCTGCTCAACCTTTAAGGAAGGAAGCCTTTAAGGCTCTGCTCTAGTAAATGATTGATTTCTATCTTGTATGCTGGTCATATATTCTGGCTGTAAATATAGAAGGACGAGGATAATAATGTGTGTGCAGGTCTTTAGTGAGCAGTACAGAAACTGCTTTTTAAACGTTGGTGTTCTGTAAACTGTTCGCAGTCCACCACTGGTTCGCTAAATTAATTATGGACATTTGCAAAGATCTAGTTGGTGAATCTTCTCAGATTTTCGACTTCTGGAGTATCTGGGAATACAGGCCCATGCCACATTGCCTGGTTGATTGTGGTAAGGTGTAAAGCATGGTGCAATGTTGTGCCAGCTGATGTCACTGAGGAGAATAACCAAACTCAGGCTAAACTCTCATGGCTAAGCTGCCGACAGGCTTCTGATGCGCCTCTGATTTTCCCTCAGAGAGGAGAGTGCTCTGCCAAAAAGCAGTTCCGTACCTAGACACTTCCGCGGTAAGGTAACAAGGAATATTCCCGAGACCACGCACAAAGCGCATAGACGGATCGCCAGAACTCTCTCTGCCAGTTCATAGAATTTGAGCAGCTGTGGACCGCCTGAGACACTTGAGGAGCAGCGCAAGTGTTTACCTAGGATCGGTGGTGTTCGCCGGGGAGACTCTCGCGGTTCTCCTACGCTCTGTTTTCCCTCCACTGAACACCGTTCAGAAAAAGGCGCAGTTCTGCACTCCTGTCCTCACCACCGAGGTTCTCAGACCAATTAGCAAGGGCAGCAGTATGACTGCTACCAGAAAGTCCCTAAGAGTTTGCAAGGCCTGGCGTCAGCAGTTTGAATGAGCCTGCTTTGGCGTCTACTTCAGAACATACATTGCTGCCACCTAGCGTTACTAGGAGGAAATCCATGCCTCGTGGCAGGACAGACACTAGGACACTTGGGTTGCCAATACTTGCTGTGGCAAGAAAATTTCCGCTTTAAACAAGGTTGGGAATAGGCTAGGAAAAATGCCCAATGTAGAAAATCATCTGGAACATTCGACACATGTATGGCCTGATCCCAGCATTCAACTTTACCCAGTAGGCGTGTGTTAGTCCCAAGTTTGCAAAGGAGACTTTCCTGCAGTACAGTTAAGATTCCTTTCCCCTTCTTTTTCATTCCCGCAGACCCATGTTTTTGCTCGCAGTCCACCCAGTTTTCAGAACCCTGAGGTTGGAATGACCGTGTCCAACGGGGTTCAGCTGGTAGACCACGGTCAGAGGTAGGTCAGCCACCTACTTCTCTGAATGAAGTCCATTGAGGCTTACGGTTCTTTCTGTCTTTTGATGTTTGTCTTTATTCAGTCAGATCCTCGCTTTCTTCTAATATCCCCAACACTGATTTAAACCCCAATCTCCACTGTTGCATGGACTCTAGCGAGGAGTGGACATTAGAAAGTAGCCGCCCAGCTGGGCGGTGGTGGCGCATGCCTTTATCCCAGTACTCAGGAGGCAGAGGCAGGCAGATCGCTGTGAGTTCAAGGCCAGCCTGGTCTACAGAGAGAGTTCCAGGACAGCCAGGGCTACACAGAGAAACCCTGTCTCGAAAAACAACAACAAAGCAAGAAAGAAAAGAAAAGAAAGTAACCACCTACCAAAAGGTGAAGCTAGAGCACCCCAAGGTGTCTTCTTTTAGAGAACACGCCCAACCCCAGCCATACAACTGCACATATACACGCCCCTGCACACCTTTTACACACATACTCAAACACACCCATTCCACCTATTGTCTCTAGAGTGGTTCTCTTCAGGCGGTCATGCCCTAATTCGTCAAACAACAGGAAGTGTGATTTTATACTAATTCGTCAAACAACAGGAAGTGTGATTTTATACCATCTCTTCACCTTCGGCTGAGAGCCAAAACGTCCATAAGTACAGTAACACACACCCTAGTGCATGCTAGCAGAGGTCCAAGAAGACAGTAAAAGTCCAACCTCCCCTGGGCCATTTTTAAGGGGGCGGGGCTTCTCACACTGCAAGCCACCTGGACTTTGGGCAGCTTGATCTTTCCAGACCTACCCAAGTCCAGTGAAGGTTTCTGCTCCAGAATCAATGTCAGGTCACAGCCAGGCGACTGACATTTCTTGGCAATTAGAAGCCTTAAGAACTTTAGCTAAGTTAGGTGCACATCCTTAGATCATCAGAGAGAAAAGTCACACACACACAAAACCCAAAAACTAAACAAACAAACAAACAAACAAACAAAACATGGTCACTATTTGGGGACAAAATGGTTTCCCTAAATGCTCATTTTCTATACTCAAATCTTCATTGGTTTGTGGTTAAAAGGGGCTTGGGCAGCATAGAAAGCACCTCACACTTAGCCTGTAAGGCACAGGGCAACAGCCGTTCAACACCCAAGACTACAGGAATGGGTATGACCATCAGAAGAGCCCTGCGTGTCACCAACTGAAGGAGTACAAGTTTGTTAATGCCATCCACATTGCTTATCAAAAGCCACAGTATACAAGTCTCAGAAAGAAGACTCTGCCACATAATTAAATGGGGTTAGTCCTTCAGCGGAAAAAAAAAAAAAGAATGTTTCTCAAACATCCAATTTTATTTTTGTCATTGCTGAACATGATCTGAAGTTAGCATCAGAATTCCCAGTCCAATCAATTGAAAAACTATACCACAGGGGGCAACCTTAAAAGAAGTGAAATCTAACATTATATAGATTTTCATTTCTAAATACAGTATATTACAGAAGGTTAAATATACTACCTCTGTGTACTTACAGCTATAAAAAGATACATTAATGATACCAATTATAAATAATGTAACATTTCATATTAAAGGCGTTCTTGTACAATGGAGGACTAGCAACCCTCTAATGTACTACGATGAAGGGTAGTGAGTGCCTAGAGATATTGAGATGCTGAAAGGTCAGTGTATGAGGCCAAATCCCGGCTTAATCAGTTACTGGTAGTCTAAGTGCTGAGGGGGAAGGAAGGTGAATGGAATATTGCTCGTCTCTGGCAGGGCTGAGAGCTCCAGTTCATGCACCACAGTCTTGATGCACACACTGGTTCTGGTAGGAGGCTTTGTTTTTGCTGTTTCTCAGTCCAACTTAAGTCCTTAAGTGGAAGCATCACAGCCAATTAGAGAGTTAAAAGTACCCAAACAACAGTCAACCCAATCCGTTCGGTTCTATTCTTAGAGCATCCCAGAACGGCTTTAGTTTTCCAAGCTAAACTATGGAATTTGCATGACACATGGATACATCAAAGAGGGAAAAAATGTCATAATGTGAATGAGATATCCAGGTCACTTGGTTGGTGACCGTGTCCCTTATGGGATTCGGGTGTCATTAGCTAATCAATCAGAAACGGAAACCCAAATGGGACTTCATAGCTACGGCGCTGTTCAGTGGCAGCTGTCTCTCAGTTTTCTGATCTAAAACGGGTAATGGAGCTGGAGAAAAAAGAAACAGGGAGCGATCACCGAATGTGGTGGAAACGGGTAATTTGCGAAAGCGAACGATGGCTCTGAGTGTCGAATGTGCGGCTCAACTGCCTGGGTTTGCTCAGCTAGGGTAGCTCTAAAATGGGCCATCAGTGCCAAAGGTGGTACCAAGGATGCTCTCTGCCAGAAAAGGGCCTTCGGGATGGCTGACCATCTCAGGACTACAGAGCAAACTCTTTGGGATGTTGACTTGCTCATTTCAATGTCAGGGTGGTTTTCAAGGAGAATCCCACCGTCAGTGTTAGTATGCAGCCCCCCCCGGGACCGGCACCCCTACAGACCAAAGCCTTCTGAAGTCTTTCCTTGGCATGTGTTTCCCCTAAGCTGCCCGCACTGGCTCCCTGGGATCCTCCTTTCCTACCAACACCTACCTCTGCTTGTGAATAGTCCCACTTCAACCTCAGGATGAAGAGGGACTTGTTCCCTGCACAGGTGACCCCGAGGAGCCCGTGAGAGAGCCACACACGCAGTAAGCTCTTTCCACATTCCTCCTGGGGTCAGCAAAAAGCATTTAAAATAACTGCAGGACACTCCAGAGACCATCCTCCTGTTAACCGAGCCCTGGAGGTCTTTGCTGTGTCCTGCACTTAGGCTAAAGGCAAAGTCACAGCTGGAGACCAGTTCCTCCCCAGGCAGGCCTGCAGCGTCACACGTAACATCCAGCCACCCACAGTTTGGTCCATAAAGCATGAGTTGTGAGAGGAAAATCAAAACCAGTAAACTCTAGTAGACCGAGTGTCCGGAAGAGAAGGGCCTGGGAAGATGAGCGCCGTCGTCCTGCTCTAGGCTCGTGGCAAGTTGGAGTTGCCACAGACAGTTGTCCAGCGTTGGAGGAAGAAACTGGTCTGCTGCTCAGGGGTTCTTGTCATTCAGTTTGATGGTGACCGTTTTCACTTCTGTATACTCAGCCAGAGCGTATTCACCTCTGTGGAGACAGAAGAGGGACAGTTCACAGTGTCAGTTCAGGGATCTGGGAAAACGCTTCTAACGCCCGAGCTCTCTGGTGCACAGTTTGAGGGCTGGGGTTTGCGATGCCTGGCCGGAGTAGGGGCAGTAGGCACTCTGATGTCCTTAGTAAGTGTCGGGAGCTGAAAGAGTGAGTTTAAATGCTAAGTTCCTGTGTATGGTGCTTTTGAAGCCCTTAAAAGAGCTAGGGTTTGCTCCCGGACCAGGAGAGAGGGAAACACCAGAACAAACCAGGGGTCAGTTCTCTGGGTCAGGCAGGTGGCTGCTGCAGAAGAGGGGCCCTTGCAGGTGGATGAGGAGAATCTGGGGTGTGAGAACTGCACCAACTGTGTCAGTTTTAAGTGGTATTTTTTTTGGAACTTAAAGAGAGAGAAATAGCTATGTCCGAGGAGGCAGCCTGTGGCCCACAAAGACATCTGGCTCTGAAGGGCACAGCTGTAAGAGGAGCTGGGTCAGACTGCAGAAGAAAGGGAACAGACACTGGCCTAGGCTAGACACAGGGATGTGATGGCCCTCGGGTTAGCATCTTTGGAATAATTCCTTCTCTAATGACTTATAGGGGCCAGGGACTGGAGAGGCCATCTTTGTATTAAAAGATCACAATCCTGTCTCATCTCTGAGACCTGCAGGTGAGCAGCTCAGCTCAGTGTCATCAACATCACTTCTGAGCATGTTGGAAATGCAAACTCTGGGCCTCCCCCAGCACTACTGTGGCAGGTAAAACAGGGAAGGCAAAAGAATAAACGGTGTCCACATCCCGCTCCCCTGTCCTGGAGCATGTGGTAGGTGGCCAAGCAAGGGGGAATGGATGCTGGAGATGGAAATCTTGTGGTTAATCAATCGACTTCGAAACAGAGATTTTTCTGGGTCATTTGGGTGGCCCAGTGGTTCTTAAGAATTGAAGAAGATAATTAAGCAAAAAATGAGACAAGACACAGAAAGGTACCACTGGGCTGGTTGGGAAGATGGCTGAGGCCTTGAGCCAAGTAGGAGGCTAGGAATTCAGTCCTCATAGCCTCCTGCCTAGCAGACACCTCGATCTAAGCTCAGAGAGAGCTGCACCTGTCCTGTAGAGCTTGGTGACACATGTTGGAGTCATCAAAGCCAGTATATTGATGGGATCAGAAATTTGCTCATTGGGGTCAAAAGGGGTTTGTTTGTGTTTAGTAAGTTCCCTGAGTGGTTCTGATGCCCCCTTGAGTGTAAGAGCCATGGTGGCTCATGACTGTAGAGTAAAGATGATTGGAGTCCCCAAGACGGATTCAGCTGTGCCGTGGGAATGCCACCTCTCGGTTCCACCACCTAGGGAGAATTTACATCGGCCACTCACTCTCTGCTGAGTAAGGAACGTCACCGTTAAGAAGGTGTGCGGTTTTTAATGTACTATATGTACTTACAAAGCAACAGGGAAAACACAAATCACCAAGTGGAAAAATTCAACAAAGGACATACTCACTTTTGCAGAAAAAGAAATTCAAATTCCAATAAGCGTGAAAGGGACACTCACTGTCTTATACCCGAGGACATGTAAAATCACACAGAGACACTTTCATGTGGCCGAGCACTGAATTCTAGGAATTCATTCTGAAAACCACCACCCTAAGTGCATAACTATATACAAGAAAGCTTATAAACAAGGTTTGTAATAATAATAATAATAAAGGCCCGTGGAAATAACACCAGTGCCCATTCTAGGTGGCTTTCACTAAAGGACTGGGACATATCCAAAATACATCTTCACGGCAAAAACTAGCTTGCTTCCACAAACAGAGAGAATGAGTTGGATTTGTGCATAGCCACAGAAAACACATCATCAACTTTCCAAATGAGCAAAAAAGGTATTGCTTTGCAAAAATCCTAAGTGCTGGCGGTTTAATCGATCTCGGAAAGAAAAGGGGTGAAATCGTCCCGAATTAGCTCGTGTCAAACAGCTCTGAAGGGTCAGCACATTCTCGCAGGAAGCAGGCTGTAGATTCCTCCTTCTTCTTTCTATTTCCTCATCTGTTGTTCTGGTTCATTAAACCCCTCACCCAGTCTTTTTGACATCAGCCACCAAAGCCAGTTGGGAGCTCAGCCTTCCTCCTAATAACCCCCCTAGAATATAGCTGGGGACAAGGGTTGAGAACAGTTTGCTGACAAATGCCCAGAACCTAACACAAAGCTTCGAGTAGTAAAGATGCTTGGCAAATATTTCAAGGGGAAAATCACCAAGAGCTCAGAGATCATGTCCTTTGTGAAAGTGTAGGACCATACTCACCTCTTGCCTGCAGGGTCTGCTGGGGATATGCCCTTGGACCAACTGTGGTCAGCAAGGACGTCTTTAGAGACTCAGCTGGGAGTCTCAAGGTCAAATTTGAAGAGCAATACAAGACAGGCCAGAACAAGGGCTTTTTCCAGAAGCTTTGGTTTAGGTTTCTATTTGTTTCTGCCATGAAATTTTAAAAAAATTTAAATTTAAAATTAATTTTCTTTTAATTTATAAAAACAAAACCAAATGAGACTAAGGGTCAGGGAGGAAGGTCTGGCCTCGCTGCATCTCTGTTTTAGGAGTTTTTGTTGGCTCTCTCGGATGCCTTACTTACACGGCAAAGCAAAGAAGCAGAAAGCAATGTACCAAGAGGAACAGATTTTTCAGGCTCCCTCCAAGACCAGCCCAGAAACACACCCTGGAGGGGCCGGCAGATGTACAGCCAGTAGCCAGCCTAGCTCCGGGTGACCAGTATGGGGAAAACCATGGAATCCACCTTATGGTGCTCCAGCACAGAAAAGGGGAACTTGTTACGACAAGGAGACACTAATTCAAAACAACTGAAAATAGAAATTGTTTTCAAGGCAGTTTCCAGGTTCCTTACAAATGGATTTTAAATCCTTCATCAAAAAAAAAAAAAAATAAGCTTTGGAAAAATAAATGCCAAAGATTTAAAAAAAAAAAAAAAGACATTCAAGAAAGTCCCTAGCACAGCTGTCAAGATGAAACATGGCCAAGGTCTGTGAGCTTAGCAAGCCAGTCGGTGGCAGGCACAGGGACCACAGACCCCAGGATATGAGTGGCCCAGGTGATTAAGCTCTGCCGGACACCTGCAGAGGTTCTAGGGTAGCAGCGGCCAGGCAGGTGTCCTCCATGTGCCCTGCATCACTCTGTGTCCTTCCAGTGACTTTCACTTAGGGGACTGGCCTGCTTGCTGCCTTCCTGCCTCTAGAAGGAAGGCCGTGAGGGTGCTGGATTCCCTGGTCCTCACAACCTGCCTGGCTGAAGACAAAGGACCAGAGGAGACAAGTGACCACTTGCACTCTGGTGGCTTCATCTGAAGGGACTGACAGAGATGACCCCTAGGGCCGGGGTCGGCTCAGTGGTAACAAACTTGCCTCACATGCGGGATGACCTAAGTACCTTTCCCAGTACTGCAAAAAAAAAAAAAAAAAAAAAAAAAAAAAAAAAAAAAAAAAAAAAAAAAAAAAAAAAAAAAACAGAACAAAATCTCCCCAAACAAAATTAAAAAACACCAATAAGACACAGGTGGGCTCTGCTTAGCTAGTTCTGAACTATGGAAAGCCCAAGGCCAGGGTGACAGTCGGTGTTTTTCTTAACTCTTGTCCTTTTGGTTGTGAGCCTAACCTATAATGGCTGAGCCCTTTCTCCAGCCCTACTTTTAACACGTATGATCTGCTAGCCTCCTGGGTCGGTTTTGTCCCCTGAAAGCTGTTATCCCCTCTTGTGGATTGTCTCCACAAGAACATGAATGACTGTTCGGGGGCTCTCACAAAACCTTCTGGAGTCTGTGCTCAGCAAATGTCAGCTGTCACCAGCGTTACTATTGGAGAACCTGGAAGGAACTCGGGTGGTCCTAGCCCTAGCCTCCCATGCTCGGTTGGAAGGCTCCTCTGAGAGGCCATGAAGTAGAGACTCAAAAATGGCAAACACGACAGGCTGCCAATGGGGCACCGAGCTCCTGCCACAGGTCTTTGTGGCCAAGAATCAATAAGTTACTGCAGGAGAACCAGTCACAGGACCAAGGACCGAAGAAGACTGTGTGGGTTTTGTTCCTGTGTGCAGACGATTCTTGAGTATCTTTTATGAGTCAAGGAGAGTCTGAGCAGAGCAGAGGTGGAGTAAGGGGCCCTAATTCCATGCAGACCAGTCAAGAGCTGGTGGAAGCCAGTTTCTACCCATTGGAACAGCCTCAAGACTCTACAAGCAGAGCTGCTCGGTGAGGCCCAGGCTGGTCTGTTCTGACTACAACGGCAGACATGTAGAAGGTAAAGCATTTGTATATAAACGACACAAACTGTTTAAACAAAAGGGAGAACATGAGCTCTCAGAAAGGTCCAAGAACAGCCTTGGGGTGTTATCACAGATGGCTCCCTGGGATCATTGAGCCTACCAAGATGTTTGTCCACACTGGCTAATAAAACCCAGGACAGCAATAAGAGGGAATGGAGAGAGATGCCAGCATGTAGCGACTCCACCCAGGGACACTCTACCCAGCTTTGGGCCTGGGCCAGAGGCAAGAAGGCCCATCCATTAATCTTAGGAGGTCAGGCAGGAAAGAGACACAGAAGAACTTGTTCAGGCCCAGAATGTTCTGCTGAGGCCATGGAAATACAACACAGCCCCTGAAAAATGTATCCAGAAGGAATTAGAGTCACCCACAGTATGACCTCAAAGCTGGTGCCAGGCTCTGAAAGCAAAAGCAGGCGGATTCGGAGCCTGACCAAGCCAGTCTGTTTTCTCTGATCAAAATGGAGATGTGTATGCTAAGACTTACAATCACCACCCCTTCACACACCCATCCTGCTAGCCTAGGCCAAAGAACTGTAGGGTGTCCCTAGGGTGATGGTACTGCTCAGAGCATGAAGCTGAGGCTGCAGGTTGGTTCTGGAGATCAGGGCAGGGACAAGGGTGGGAAGGAGAAGGGACAGATCCTGAGCAGCCTCCATCGAGGACCACTAGCCTTCATGGAAGAGTGGATGGTGAGGGGTCAGAAACACTTACAGTTCTCTGCCATTTCCAGACATTTTGAAGCCACCAAATGGAGCCTGTGTGTAGAACGCGTTGTAGCAGTTGATCCTAGAGAAAGGGAGAAAGGAGCTCTGGTTACCTGGAGCGAGAGATACTCGTCTGCATCTTGAGACACTGGAGGCATAGCGATGCCCACCCAATGCGTGGCCTTTGGGCAAAATTTCCATAACTTGATCACAGCACACCCCTTAAGCTCTTTACTCCTGCTTCCTTTCTTCCCGCCAGAAACTACAGCTGGAATATATGGAGGAAGAGAGCTAGGGGAGGAGTTAATGTGGAATGAGCAGGCCTGACCTCAGAGCTCTGCTTCCTAGACTACAGATGTGACTCTAAGCTTATTCAGCCCCTTTGAGTCTCACTCCATTCATCGGGAAATGGGCGTGAGTTCCGAATCTTCAGAATTATCAGGGAACAGAGATAAGTGTCTATACTTAGTAGGTTAGTTATTCTCTGTCTTTAGAATCCACCAGAGACAAAATCAGAGAGGTAGGGTGACATAGGTCCAGGCTTTGGAGACTCCTCAGCTATGTCCCGTGACCCTTGATCACCATGGGTTCTGGACCCTCAGAACAACCAATTCAGATCCAACCAACCTCAGACCCAAAGTTCTTGTGCAGAAATATTTTTCTCTTTGACAATATTCTCTAAGCAATAGCGTGCAATAAATATCAACACAGTATTAGGTATCACAAAGCATGTAGATGATTTTGAAGTAGTCAGGAGGGGATGAGGTATATCTTAGTAGTAAAATGCCTTTCTAGTATGTTCCAGCTCCTTGGTCAGTATGGTATAGATAGAGCGATAGATAGATAGATAGATAGATAGATAGATAGATAGATAGATAGACAGACAGATAATAGCAATCAAGCTGGAGGATGTTCCTAAGCTGTCTGCACACATGAGAGGCTTGAGTGTGTTGTAGGAGGTCCTTCTGTCTTTGTGTTGCTTTCATTGGTTAATAAAGAAACTGCTTTGGGCCTGATGTGTGCCAAATGAAGGACGCTTAAAAAAAATCCAACACTAGCTCAGAATTGAAAAATTGATGGTTATTTATTTAGGGGTAGACTCACAAATCAGAGTCCTCTGCTTAAATGGAGATTAAAAACTGAAATCCGCAACCAAAACAGAGAGGCCAAAACAGAGGCCAAAGGCATGCTCTACATCAGCATATATAGTATAAGAGGCCACGCCCCAGTGGGCGGGTAACCACCGGCTGTAAGAATTCCTACAGCATGAGTGGCCGTAGACTTTGGTCTCTCAGCAAAGAATGAGTGCTCTACGGTCAAACCCTGAGGGCCAACTGTACTAGTTGCATGATGCTGGAGAAATTATTCTGTCTCTTTCTATGCCTTGACTTCTCCAGGTGAAAAATGAGGATTTAAGGCCATCGGGAGCCCATTTCACAGGACGGTCACCAAGTCACTCAATGAGAGCACATCACGCAATCTCCGCCAATGGGAAGAAAATGAAGCTAGCAAGCCTGCAGCTCAGATAACGCACGCATGCTTGGCTCACCAGACTGTGCCCGACTCCAGCGCAGAAGCCAGCTTCAGGGCTTTGTCGAGGTTTTTGGTGAACACCGCCGCCGTGAGTCCGTAGTCAGTGCTATTCGCTCTTTTGATCACTTCTTCAAGATTTTTGAACTTCAGTATTGGCTGCACTGGTCCGAAAATCTGTAAATCAATCACAAGGAGAGTAATAGCAGACTTGCGTGGAGGGGATTGTGTGCCCTGATCAGGCACCCAGTTTGTATGCCTTTCCATAGTTCCAGGGTGCCTCCCTCAGGACAAAGAACCCCTAAGACCTCTGTAATTGTGTGATGGCTAAAATTTGAATGAGGGGGCTTAAGATAGAACAGAAATGGAAGACCCAAAAGCATATGCATTGCATCTATGGTCCTCCATGCCAGCACTGTTTTTGAGAACTGTCTCAGAGCCTGCACAGCAGGGTGTACAGAAGGAGAACCATTGGCTGGCACTCTGCGAAGTCCTCTAGAAGGGTGTCCGCACGTGGGTGAGCTCTGCTCTCCTAGTGGCTTTGTACTTTAATGAAGATACTTAAACTGTTTCTGTAGTGCGTCCCAGGGGAAGGATGGGGCCAATGGTCACAGAGCAAAGGAGAGAGGGAGAGTAGCGGCACAGGGTTGCCCACTTAGAGGGATTCTGAAGGAAGCTTGGGATTGAGTCACTGCTGGGCGGGATTGCATGCCAGGACTCTGGAAATGGCTTCTCGCCTTCCTCAGGACATCTTATCAAGAAGTGTGCAAAACAGCAACAGCAGCGAAAGAACAATTTTAAAAAGAGATGCATATAAAGATCTGAACTCTGACGCTGGACGGTGGTGGCGCACGCCTTTAATCCCAGCACTCGGGAGGCAGAGACAGGCGGATCTCTGTGAGTTCGAGACCAGCCTGGTCTACAAGAGCTAGTTCCAGGACAGGCTCTAAAGATACACAGAGAAAACAAGGGGAAAAAAAGAGGATCTGAGCTCTGTACCACCACAGAACTGTGAGAAACCTTTTAACACATCTAGGAGAAAGTACCGAGCCAGGCGATGGTGGCACACACCTTTAATCTCAGTACTTGGGAGGTAGAAGCAGGCAGATCTCTGTGAGTTTGAGGCCAACCTGGTCTACAGAGCAAGTTCCAGGACTGGCTCCATAGCTACTGAGAAACCCTGTCTTGAAAAACCAAAAACCAAAACAAAACAGAAAAGGCTACTCTCCTTACAGGGAAGCCCATGCCTACCCCTCACATGGCCATTCTTCTGTTCTTGAAAGTCTAGTCACTTGATCTCAAACTCACTTCTTTTGAGCCTGTGCAGAAACAGCCACCATGTGCCTAATGTTGGGATTGAGAGGCAAAGGGGAGATTTCTGCTTTTACGGGGATCTGCTTAATCTCCATTCTCCCCAACTGTGGCAGAAAGGTCAATGAGAATTACAGCTGGGGCACAGTCCTTGAGGGACTCTTGTTGTTTAAGGACAGTCTGAGGAGTGTGAAGTACCACAGGTCCTGAGTCCATAGTTTGGTGCCTGGTAACAGTCACTAGGCTGAGAGATGTTGGCCCCAGGGCTGTGCATGAGTGGGAAAGAGATGAACTGCTGTTGCTTGGAGACCATGAGCAAGGATGGAAATGGGGCTGGAGCAACTACAGCTGCTGTAGGTCTCGGGGCTCACCAGAAACTCCAGATCCCCAAAAGACAGCAGGGCCACCCAGAATGGAACTGTCCACCCTGTAAAGACTTCCGGGACTCCTGGGGCTTCAGAAGAATTCTTTGAAGGAACCCTGGGGCCCCAGTTTTGGCTGTAGCCACACCCACCTCCTCTTTGGCAATCCTCATGTTGTCTGTAACATCTGAGAAGACAGTAGGCTTGATGAACAGCCCTCTGTCCTCCATGGCTGACCCCCCGCATTCCAGCTTGGCTCCTTCTTTCTTTCCGCTCTCGATCAGTTCGAGGATTTTGTCAAACTGCTTCTGATCAATCTGCAAAACACAGAAGGGAATCAGAGGCACTTACTTTCAGAAGGGGACTGTTGTCTTGTTTTCAAGGGCTCTCAGCACCATCAGGGGTCCTCTGCTCTGTGTCCTTGTCAAGTCCTAGATCAGAGAACAGACAGCCTTGTGGGAAGATAGTCCTCCCGTGCACAAACCGGGGCTCTTTGGAACAGGGGGCCACAAAGAGGTTGGCTGTTCTCACCTTCAGCTTGAGGCCTCGCTCACATGTCTAGTTCCCCTCCTCGTGCTGAGAGGTCAAGTGTAAAGGTTCAATAGGTTCTTAAATGATTGCATTCCCTCAGGTCTTGGCATTCTGCTAGGATTACTGGATTTAACAAGTAAAAACACAAGATGCCCAGCTAAATGCGACTATCAGAACCACAACGTGTGATCACTTGTAGTATAAGTATACACCAGTGTTTGGGATATACTTAGGCTAAGACGCGTTCAGTTTGTCTAAATTTCAAGTCTGGTGGTGTCAATATTTACCTGTGCACCACAGCTTGGGGGATGGGTACTATTGGAATTACTTAGTGCAGAGGAGGGGGCAAGAGCTGAGTACTTGATTCAGCATCCCTGGGAACAGTGGCATGAGCCTCGCAGTAGGGGATGGGGCTGCTTCTTGGTTGGAGGGAAACAAACTCAGAAAGGTCCTTTCTACCTTCCACTACCACCTCATTGACTCCAAGGTGCCCTGTACGACAAGCCACAGATTGACACCCAGCTGCAGGACATATTACTCAACCATCTGTCAAAAGGCTACCCCTCTTGGGGACGGCTTGGCATAGAAGATGCTCATTCTGTCCTCATTCATAGCTTTCTTCCTCAAATATATAAATCTTCCATCATGACACATTTGACCTAGTTTCTTCCCTCCTAGGCTGAGAGAGATAGAATTTAAGCAGATACACTATTCCTGAGGCTTTTAGATAGCAGAGTTGGTTACATTCCAGTAACACTAAGTAGGAAAGAAAAATTCAGGGCCAAGGAGACAGCTCTGTTGGCAAAACTTAAGGACCTGAGTTCAGATCTCTGGAACCCATGGGAAAATCAGGGCATGGTGACCCATACCTATAATCCTCTCAAAAAATAAATGGTGGCCAGCGATAAAGGAAGAACTTGACCTCGACATCTGACCTCCACACAAACATATAGTACATGCACACGTAAAGTAAACATGGCTGCACACACATATGAACACACACAGGCATACCATAAATATGTAATATAGAAAAAGGATGAAAAGTAAACAAGCACATTTCAAGGATAGAAAGTTCTTTGAGTTTCTGTGTAAGGGACAATAAAAGAAGAACCAGATATCAAATGGTGGGACCAGCATGACCTCTTTCGTGGCGAGACGGGGAAGAAATCCAAGAGCCTAATCACGCTTGCTTGCCTACCTGTAAGGAAATCCTGGAGGAATGGTCTAGGAATAAAGAACCATGGGACTCTCCACTGTGGGGAGAGGTAAGAACGGGTGGTGGTGGGGTGGTGCGGGCAGGGGAGCCCCTACACTGTAATCCTTTGTACACAGTTAAGGTTTAGAGCCACGGGCTGACACACCCAGAAAAAGTAAGGAAAGAAACCAAAACACCTGAATTCCAAGCCCCATCAGCTTCTCTGGGTGAAGCGCATTTTGGCTTAAGAGTTCCAGATGGGGCTGTTGAGATGCTCAGCAAATACTGGGGCTGGCCATCAAGCCTGACAACTTGAGGACAATGCTGGATTCGGCAAGGGGTCCACACAGTAGAAAAAGATAGCTGTCCCTGTCAAGCTGTCCTCTGGTCCCCACATATATACACAAATGTATACACATAAAAATTAAATAAATAATGCCGCTTAAAACATCATTTTAAATGTGAAAAAGAAAACCTCTCTCCTCCTCGGGGGGCCAACTTAGCTCACCGGAGCAACTAGGTCAGGCCTCAAGTCTTTGCTGGCTGGAACTTTGCTGTACTGATAGATCCCATCTTCTCTGTAGGCAACATGGGTCCCCGTCAGAACCTCTACACTCCCAAACTTCACCCCCCAATGAGTCCTCATAAACACGCTGTTTTTAAATCTAATAGCCATCCATGAATTGTCAGCTGGTGCCTACAATACAGGAAGAAAGATCTGTCAGGAAGTGAAATGACAGGCCAGGGCGCAGCACCAGAAGTGGGAAAAGATGGCTCCCTCGGGACCATCCACGGCTGTGCTGGCTCTGCAGAGGACGTCTCCAGATCCTGAGCAGGCCAGGTGGCCTCCTTGCTCGTCTGCCAAGCTAACCCGAGAGATGATGGGGCGGTCCAGCAAGCGGTCTCCAGTCCTGGCCCCCGATCTAGGCCAGCTAGCTCTTCCACAGGCCTGAGACAGACAGGAGTGTTTAGGCAGCTGGACATCCTTGCAGAGGAAAACCTTAAAGGTCTTAGAAGGAGGGAGATCACAGGATCCTAATATAATGTGCAGGTGAAATAGGCTAAGTGAGCTCCAAAGGGAGTCTGCGTGGCAGAGCGCAGGTGGGATGGACACCCACTCCTGAGAAGAACCTGTGTATCTGGCTCCAAATGCCACACTGAAGGCTGGGAAGAAAAGGAAGGAAATGATAGGAGAAAAAGCTCCTATTCCGTTCCAGATTAACTCGAACACTTGTGAATTCGTTACTAATTTGGGGCCGTGTTTGCACCGAGGCCACAGACTACCTTGCGTCAGGACTTCAGAATTTGTGATTGAGGTTGGAAATGAGGTATGGACACTGCTTCCCTGCCGGGGACACAGGAGACCAGAGCCACAGAGCACAGAGCACTGGGGTCACAGTTGGCGTCACCTTGGCCGGAAAATCTCCCTCCACTTCTTCCCAGTATCTGCTCAGGATGGCTAGGCAAAACTGACGGAGATGTCCTGAAATCACCCAGGGATGTGTATGCCTCCTAGGTTAGAGCGCCGCCAGTCAGTGCTTCTCCCTAAGAACAAATCTGTTCCCACCATTGGGCACTTTACGGTGATGAGACACCCTCTGAAACTGAAATAAAATTTATGCCTTGGCAGTGCTGAAACTTGTGTGGGCAGTCCATATAGGGCAGTTCTGTTGAACTTGTCCATATAGGGTTTCATGGTCTAAGTTTATGAGGTCTCTTCCTCAAGAGGGGACCAGATCTCATTTTAGATGGTTGTGAGCCACCATGTGGTTGTTGGGAATTGAACTCAGGAGTTTTGGAAGGGCAGGCAGTGCTCTTAACCACTGAGCCATCTCTCTGACACCCTTTACTACTCTCATTTCCGAGATGAAGAGATTAAGGGCTGGAAGGAGCAAAGCCATGGAGCTTAGTTTGAGCTCAGTAGCTTCCTGTGTAAGCATTTGGTGCCGACTCAGTGGTAAACTATGAGTCTATCCAAAAGATAGACAATGGTGGGTAAGTCATGGATACAGCTAGAAACTCAGAATTAAGCAGGGGCCTGGCAAAAACACAAAGACCCGCCACCATGTTCAGTTGTGATAATGCAGGGATGGCCAGGTGGCCCTTTTGAATATCCTTCCCTTGGCTTCACTGACCATTAGCAAGAAAGCCACACAGGATGCACCCTTTACAAACGTTATTAAACTCCATGGTTCCATCCATTTGCATCCTGTCCAGGCTTCCCAAACCAGGCCAGCAGAAACCCGTTCCCATCGCCCAGTATATAGTCCAATCCCCAGACTTTCTCTGCCCTCTGGTTCCTGGGGGTTATCTCATGATGTAAGCCACATGGCCTTGAGGGCCCCTGAGTCAAGACTTGTCAATCATTGCCCTGGCTGTGCCCTTCTTCTTCAGGGTTCAGAAAACTCTCTCTGTGACCTATCCCCAGAGTTTCAAGGTCACCATATCAAGAAGGTTACAGGGTATGGAAGGATAGCCTTGTGGCTCCAGATCCATAGGCTCCCCCCTCTTTCCCATGACTGTAGCTCCATTTTCTGACAAGACCAAGTTATTCAGCTTCCATGTGACAACGCAATCTGGTTCTTCTCCTTGCAGGAACCCTGTCTGTGGCCATACTTCTGCCTAGTTTGGCCCTCAGAGGAGCATTACACGTGGAGATGTGTTTTTTGTTGGTTACCTGGGGCCCCTGCTCCGTTTTGGCATCGAAGGGGTCTCCAACTGGCCTCTTCTTGGCATACTCCACACTCCTCCTCACGAACTCCCCGTAGACCTGCTCTTCCACAAACACTCTGGAGGCAGCGGTGCAGCACTGGCCTTGGTTGAAGAACACTCCCTGGTGAGCACACTCCACCGCCAAGTCCACTGGGGGTCGGGGGAGGCAAGAGGAAACGATTAAGTTGTTACTGCAGGCCAGGCGACAGCTGGAACGCTAATTGCCCCCACAAGAAAACAGGCCCCAAATGACTGCATTTCAGAAACTAATTTTTCTTTCTCAGTGCTTCCCAAAGAAGAGGATGGGGGGAAAGGATTTTAAATCCATCAAGTCTGAGTTTACTAAATCCAAGAAGCAAGATTTCTCAGCGCCATTAATATGCTAATGAGCGCCGAGCCGGAACACTTCCAGCTCATCTGTCCATGGAACCCCCACCCGAGCTTTCCTGTCCCTACCCCAGCAGAGCTGTAACAGGACAGTCTCTCAAGGCTCCCTGTCCTTGCTGCACCCCTGCAGCTGAGCCAGGGGCTAGGCTCAAACGCCTCTCCTCAAGACACCAGTTCATTTCCTGTCCCTCATGACAGCTGGGAAGGATGACCGAAGTGGCAGAATGGCGTGTGACACCCTGGACATTATGTCAGGATTTAATTTTGTGGGGTGGCAGTGCCTGGAGGAGCAGGCAGGAGGAGAAGGGGGGCAGGCTCTGTTTTCATGACCCTGGAAAACCAGCCCTTACATAGCCTGCTTCTAGGGCTTGGTTGTTGGGTTCCCTTCAGCTTCACCCAGTGGACAGAAGGTAGGACCAAAAAAAGTCCTGGCTCTTTGGGATGGGAGTTTGGAACCCCACGTATGTGCCACAGTAGGAAACATATAGAACCTCTCTAAGTGACTCCAGCAGTGACATTTCTCGGGCAAGAGCTGAGAAATCCCTCTCCACGGTCTCCCTGGCTTCCTTCCTCGCTCTTCTCTCCCACTGAAAACCAGCTTCAGGGAAAGGAACGACTACCACTCCTTCACATCTTCGTGAGAAATTGTGTCATTATTTCTCAGGGCTATTTTTGATTCCAGTCTTATCTGAGTGTAGAGTGGAAGGCTTTGTTCTCTGCGCAGGGTTTGGCACCAGCAGACAGCGGAGGAGGCTGTTCTTTAAAGTTTAGGTGTTCTAAGGCCTTTGAGGGCTCACACCTTCTGAAAGGTGACCTAAGATGAGGTGACCTAGCGAGCAGGTGAATAGATGCCCAGTGTGTTTCTCTCTGCCTTCTTCTGGACACAGCAGCCAACAGTAACACACATTTTAATATTGCGTCACAGGGCTCTGGCAAGACACTAGTTGGTCCCAGCCGCCATGCAGGTGACTTTCCCAGGGAAGAAGGGACACAGGAATGACCCCCAGAGCTTGTTTCTGTTTTGTGTTCTGAAGGGTCAGCAAGGCTGTCCTCTGCTGTGCCAGGCCCAAAACATAAGAAGAAAGACTTTAACTCGTTCAAGAACCAAAGTGCAGGGATACTGGCTTGAAGGACAGAAAAATAGCCGACTGAGTGGGGAGCCCGCCTCCTTCCGTAACCCAGAAGGGCCCCTGCAGGAGAAACTGGACCTGGTCTTTGGGCTCCTTGCATCTACCTCTATTTTCTTAGGTGCAGGAAGGTGATCTTAGCCTTCAGAAGGCATAGCCTGCAGTACCTGTAAGCCACCCACAGGCTTGCCCTCCATAGGCCTGGCTCTGAGAGTGACAGCAGGTGGCCCGTCTCATGAGGGAAGCATCCCCTTACGTGTGCTTGCTCCCCTTTTCATGGGTTCTGAACAGACACCAGAAAGTGAGGAAAAGAGCTACAGTCCCCGTGACTCACAGTCCGCGTCGGCACACACGATGCACGGGTTCTTGCCCCCCAGCTCCAGCGTGACCCGCTTCAGGTTGCTCCGGGAGGCAGCCTCTTTAACCAGCTTGCCAACCTTCAGGGTGAGAACAGGTTTCATGAACTCTTAGACACGGTGAACTTGGCCCCAGCAGAGGCAGGCAGGCCTGGTGGTACCGTGGTCATCTGCCTCAGTGAAGCACCTCAGTATCACATTGTCACACAGCCTCGGTTCCCCGGGATGGCCACTGCTGCTGGTCACCCTGCTAGGAGTGACAGCTAAGACTCTGCCAGCTTGCTATGGAGGTCATGCCGAGACGAGGGGATTGTCAAGTTAGGGGAACGGCAAAGATAACTCATCCTGGTGATGCCATGTGGCCAATCTAGAACCCTTAGAGACTGAGCCCACCTCGGGAGGAGGAGTGAGAACTGGTAACTGATATGGTGCCACAGGATAACACCCCCACCGTGACAGGGTCTCTCTGTACCCTGGGTACGCAGATAGAGGTGCACTGGCCTAAAATGCCCCTCCCGACACATCCTGGCAATGAGTGTAATGAGATCCCAAGAACCTCTGAGCTGGGAAAAACCCAGGAGTCCAGCGCAGACCCCACACCTTGGAGCTGAATTTCTCAGTGTGCATAGTGCCACGACTGTTTAATGTCATGCAGATGAATGGTGGCTAGAGGCTATGGTCTAATTCTGACTAGAGTCTCTCAGGATGCTCACCCTGGCTGCTACAGGGGGGGGGAGACAGGAGCCGGGGAGGGGCTTCTAGCCAGACTAGATAGTTCAGAGACATCTATTTTCCCCATCATCCTGCTTGTCTTCTTCTTTTTCATTGATTTTTAGGTGCTCTTCACATATGAAGGACATATAAACATTTGAAACATTTGAAAAGCTCCAGGCAATACAACTGGTTTTCTACCAGCTTGTTTATCATCTCTTAGCTGTAATTGATATGCTATTGTTTACTATACAGATGTTTTACATTTTTTTTATCTTATCTCTCATTTATTTTTTTTTAAAGTCTTCCAAGTTCTAACAACTATTTATTTAGCTTGGAGACTGGAACAGTGACATTTTACTAATAGTTAGACTTAGAATAGAAGAAGCAAATTGCATTTGAGCGTCTCAAGAAAATGTCTGTGGGTCTCAGAGGACAGAGTGGTTGTTGTGGCTGCCAGAAGCTCACAGAGGAAGCTCACCTCTGTGGACCCCGTGAAGGCTATCTTGTTGATCTGTGGGTGAGAGGAGATTGCTGCTCCCACTGTGGGCCCAAAGCCTGGCACGATGTTCACCACACCCGGAGGGAACCCGACCTGGGAGGAACGGAAATGGCATCAAAGGATCAGATGGGCAGCACCAGCTGCAGCCGCAGACCCATCTGCAGGGGTGGCGAGAGTTGTGGCCCTGTGATGTTCCCAAACAGAGCAGCATCCTCAAGGGAAGCTGGGTCATGCACTGGCCAGCACACACCTACACCGGCAGCGTGCCCCCCTTCCCACCCCTCATCCTAACCCTCTGCTGCAAGCTAGGAGGGCAAACCTGGAAGTACTTAGGTGAATTGATCACCCTCTCCCTGGAAGAGTCTCTCACCCTACAGGGCTCAGGGGGACAAAGGTTCAGGAATGCCACTAGGTGGCAGTGGGCCTCTTGTATAAGATTGCCTCTGTGTGTGTGTGTGTGTGTGTGTGTGTGTGTGTGTGTGTGCTGGGAAGAATGTGTGTGCACATATGTGTGTGTGCTTGTATGTCTGCATGTGTATATATGTGAACATGAACATTTATATGTGAGAATGTGTGTGTATATGTGTGGGTATAAGAACATGGGAATGTGAAAACGTGTGTATTTGTGAGAGAGTGTATGCATGAATGTATGAGTATGAGTGTGTGAATGGGTGCACCTGTATGTGTGTAAGAGATCATATGTGAGTCTGTGTGTGCATGTTTGTGTAAATATTTGAATATGAGAGCACATGACTTGTGTGTGACTGTGTATGTGACTGTGTGTGTGAGACTGTGTATGTATGTGACTGTGTGCATGTGACTGTGTGCATGTGACTGTGTGCGTGTGACTGTGTATGTATGTGACTGTGTGCGTGTGACTGTGTGTGTGACTATGTATGTGACTATGTGTGTGTGACTATGTGGATATGACTGTGTGTGATTGTGTATGTGACTGTGTATGTGTGACTGTGTGTGTATGTGACTGTGTGTGATTGTGTGTGTGACTGTGTGTGTGTGACTGTGTGTGTATGTGTGTGGAGCAAGGCATCCATGCTCTGGCCAAGCCAGTGTCGGGTCTTCCTCTGCCCCACCCCCATCCAGGTAAAATGAGAACTCCTTCCCCTTGCTGGCCCCACTGGGCTCAGGATTGGCACTTGCTGAGGCAGGGGGCTGCTGATTCTTTCATACTTACACCCATGCAAGGTACGTATGGACAAACTCTCCATTAACAAGACTCTCACTAAACTAACCAGGAAGAAGGTGCCATCCCCAACACAGTTGGATCTTGGCTATCACTTTATTTGCAAAATGCCATTTTTAGGACACAATGTTTGCATCTTTACTTTCCTAGACATTATTCTGTAACACTTGTGAATGTTGGGATCCTTGAGCTTCTTTTCCATGATAAGCGTGCCCTATGTGGCCCCTGAAAGAGAGGTGAGACCTGGCTGGTTCCAGAGATCCCAGCCTCCCTCAGCAGTCCAGCAGGTACTTTCCAGCTGCAACAGTCTGCGTCTTTCAGCTCATCTTTCTTCCTGTCCTTTCGGTCTTTGCTATGTGCACGCCGATGATGGAATAACTGAAATATGTTGCCAGGTGTGTCTGGTAGGTGTCCCTCTAGGTCACTGCTTCCCTGAGTTGTGGCTCCCCTGGGGTGGGAAGGACACTGTGGAGGCTCTTGGGGACCTATGCGCAACTGTAGCTATCTAACTAGCTGGCAAGGCCACCCTTCCCAGAGGTGGAAGAACCTTTTCACATCCTGTGGTCACTGAGCCCAGGATCTGTGGAGTTTGAGGCTCCCTCTTTTTTGACCCTCCTGCAAATGCTCTAGACAAAACAGAGTGCTCACAACCGGTTTGTGACTTAGTGAGAGGAATCAGATCTTATTAGGACTATGATGCGGAACAGCGGCTTCCAGATCAGCTACCACAAGCAAAATACAGTCTTTCCCATTCCCTCTGCTCTGTGCATTGGTGGCTGCTGTCACTAATTTTCATAGTGCCTAGCTCCATGATGATTCGATCTAGAATATCTAACATCTTCTTTCCAGACTTCTTACCTCTTTGATGAGAGAGCCAAGGTACAGGGCGGTGAGGGGTGTCTGCTCAGCTGGCTTCAGGACCACGGTGTTCCCACAGCACAGGGCAGGAGCTAGCTTCCAGGCCAGCATCAGCAGAGGGAAGTTCCACTGCGCCAGAGCACAAGAAGAGGCCCCTGAGGCTCAGGTCCACTGTGTCCCCAACCCAGGGCCCACTCCCCTCTGTGGAGGAGGAAACCTCCTTTGCATGGTCAGAATGGGGCTTTGAAAGACAGCATTGGCTCGTGCAAGACTGCAGGAGCCCAGGGCTTGCTCAGCTGCACCCTGAAAATGCTAACACAGAGACATGTCTATCCCACGTGTCTTCCCCTTCCCTCCAAAATGCTTGCCAAAGGGTGACACTTTCCTTATCTCCTCTGTCCTCATTTACTCAGTTACTATGGAAATGGCCCAAACAGGCAGCACTGAGTTCCCCATCATGCTCAGGTCTCAGCGGCCTGGCATTTTAGGCTGCCGGAATGGTCCCTGCTATCTGACAGGTGTGCTCATCTTAGCCTGAGCACACACTCGCCAGCCTCCCTCTGCTTCCTTCCCAGGAGGCTGCCAATCCATGCCTTTGCCCAGGCAGGTCCCACTGATTGTAAAGCACTTTTCCCTGTTGACCAAACCTCCTTTCTGCAGCTCCAGTTAAGAGATTCTCCATCCCAGAGGAGCAGGCCACTTCTGGCCACTCTGCTGGAATCTACCGTGTCTCCTGCCAAACACCCTGAAGCACCCCAGGCACCCTCAGGCACAGAGGCCCGTGCCTCTAGGTTGCACTCAGCCAATGGTCGTTGCAGCGGTAGGAACCGTCTGTAGCGGCAAGCGTCCATACTCACTGGGGTGATGGCCCCGCACACTCCGATGGGCTCGTGCCTGGTGAAGCACACGACGTTGTTATCTGGAAGGGAGGTGACACAGGGAAAGAACACAGTCATGGTCAAGAATTCCACATAGACCCAGTGCTTGGCAGCACACACCTTTAGTCCCAGAACTTGGGAGGTAGAAGCAAGTGAATCTCTGGGAGTTCAAGGTCAGCCTGGTCTACATAGCAAGTTTTAGGACAGCCAGAGCTATACAACAGATAGACCCGGTCTCAGAAAAACAAAAGCCAAAACAACAACAATGAAACAACCCCACAACAACAACAAAAACACACACAAACAAAAAGGAATTTCACATGGATGAAGAAGAAGAAGAGGAGGAGGAGGAGGAGGAGGAGGAGGAGAAGGAGAAGGAGAAGAAGAAGAAAAAGAAGAAGAAGAAGAAGAAGAAGAAGAAGAAGAAGAAGAAGAAGAAGAAGAAGAAGAAGAAGAAGAAGAAGAAGAAGAAGAAGAAGAAGAAGAAGAAAGGAATAGAGAAGCCTGCAAAGATGCCAGGTCTGATCTGTTGCATAAAGACGTGGCCTGAGCTCAAAGCAGGAATTGAGTTCTTGAGTTCCCTGGAAGAATCAACATGTTGCCCTGTGGGGAAAGGGCTGTGGGGAGGCCCCAGGGGAAGCACCTGGAGGGAGGAAGAGACAGATTCCCCAACAGACCCAAGGGAGGCTACAGTCTATCCTGGGCAGACTCACCTGCGGGAATGGTCCTGCCCTGGATCTTGTCTGCCCATCCGGCAAAATATCTGAAGGTCTTAATACAGCCCTCCAGGTCGATAAAAAAGGCATGAAGGAATGGCTTGCCGGTGTCCATGGTCTCCAGGGTCTGCAAGAACAAGATGGCTCCTTTGTAGACAGTTTTCTTTTCTCTTGTGTTGGTTAAGTAAAGGGGTGCAGGAGAAAGCACAACCTTCGGGCATAGCTCTACACCTCCGTCCTCACATGCCACGTCAGAAAGCCTGCCTCAACACTGAAATGGACCTGCCCCCTACTGGCAAGAACTGGCCAGGCTCTTTTGCCTGGCGCTTGAAGCAGGGGACTGGTGAAGCGTGGGCTGTCTTCCTTGCTGCTCATTTGGAGGTTCTGGCACTGGCCACTCTGACCTTTGCTCTTCTATCCAGAGCAGTCTCCACTGTTACTATCCAGACCCGCAAATTCGTGCACTCCAAGGAGCTTCTGAAGTTCGGCTAGCAAGAGGGAGGTTTCTTCTAACAAAAGAGAAGGGGAAGATGTTGGCTTTTCCTTCTCGGCTGAGCTGGGTAGTGTGGCAGTGGAAAGAATGATGGAGCTCAGGAGGGTCAAGCCACCAGCACAAAGATGTGATGCTTCCCAAGCCGGCTGCAGGCCGGATGCGGAAACAGGGCAGGGAGGGCAAGTTGGTTGGACTAGGCGGTCACTCAGGCCAGGGTGCTGCTACCACTCAATGTTGGGATTCTTTTCTATTTCTAGCCCTGGTGAAAGAAACCCCTTTGTCCCTCACACCAGCAGTCCCGTGGGGCACTATGCTGAAACCTCCAGTTATCCGGCTTCACAGGAAGTATCCACCCCATGCGTTGCCTAGGGCTGGATTCCTGCTGAAGTGTCTATGGAGCTAATGATGCCCAAGCAAGGGAAGCGCCTCCTCATTCCTCACCCAGGGCTTTATCCCCCAAGCCCTTGCCTATGTCTTGTGTGCTGGATGTCTCTGTTCCCATCAGAAGATGAAGGGGCAGATGCTGACACTAACGGGGCTGATGACTCCCTAAGCCATCACTGACCAGCCGCCACTGCCTTCCAGTGATCTCAGCCATAACCCTAGGCATTTGGAAGGCTTACAATATCCAGGGCTCTTCTGTCTGACTTTTGCTTCAGAGACAACCAAAATAAACAACCACCTCCCGTGTGTGTGGCATGTATGTATGCACATGTTCACGTGTGTGTGGACACATGTGCGCATGGGTGTATATGCCTATGGAAACTTCTTCTAATCACTTGATACCACACTTTTTTTGAGATGGGCTCTCCTTGAGCCTGAGTTCACTGATTTAGCTAGACTGGCTGGCCAGTAAGCTCTAGGGTCCCCCGTCTCTTATCTCCCCCGCCCTGGGATTTACAGGTACATCCTGGCATGCCTAACATTTTAAGGGGTGCTGAGGATCCTAACGCTGGTCTTCACGTTTGTACAGCAAACACTGTGTTGACTGAGCCATCTCCCTTGCCATAAGAGCAGTCTCCCCTGATTGATGCTGGCTGAGCCCCCAAATGTCTTCCCCGTCAGTTACCTCTGCTGTAAAATGAAGATAATAATGTTTTCACCCTCTTGGGGCTGGTATGCGAGCTAAGGGAATCGATGATTGCACTCATATAGGCGGCTAACAACTGGCAGGTGACCCAGCTTTTCTCTTATCCGCTAGACAGGTGCTTGGTGACCCTCACTATGTCCCTGAGGAGGAAGGACTCAGACTTGCTGAAGATGACAGAACTTGACTGGGTCTGACTGAGGCCTGGGTTCTACCTGCAGCATCAATGTGACCCCTTGGAGGCCAATGTGACCCCTTTGGCCTCTGTGGATCAGCATCCGAGTTGGCACTTTCGTCTTCTGAAGAGAAGCCTATCATTTTCAAGAATGTCTGAAGGACCCCGGCTCTGTGAATCTCCTAAGAGCATGTGCATACCTTTGCATGAAGCTAGGGTACTATCTGTTCTTGTCTCCTTGCTGTGATACAGCAAGAGAGAGAGGACATTGGTGGAGCATGGTGGGAAGTCTGCGGCATGACAGCCCCCTGTCTCCCATCCTGGATTTCTATCTTTGGCTGGCTAGTCTCGGACAGGGTACTTCCTTTTTCTGGGCCTCAGCTTCCTGATTTTGAGATGGGATAATACATATTACAAGTCCAGAGCCTACATCAGTTTCTTGGAGGGCATTCAGTTAAGCATTGCCCATAGATTTTTTAAAAATCCTTAACTTAGGGGCTGGAGAGATAGCTCAGCGGTTAAGAACATTGCCTGCTCTTCCAAAGGTCCTGAGTTCAATTCCCAGCAACCACATGGTGGCCTACAACCATCTGTAATGAGGTCCGGTGCCTTCTTCTGGCCTGTAGGCACACATACATAATAAATAAATATTTTTTAAAAAAATCCTTAACTTTTTTAAAAAATCAAGAGTAATAACTTGAATTTTCTAGGTTGGTTGTAAAGAATTTGTCCAGACAAACTCAAGTTCGCAAGAAATTTAGACAGCGAGCTCCTTAAAGGGGAATGGCTCAGTTGGTTAAGTGCTTGCCTTGCAAGCACAGGGACCTGAGTTCAGTCCCCAGAGCCCATGTTTAAGAAAAGCCAGGTATGGTAGCACAGTCTCTCTCCATGGGGGAGGCAGAGAAGGATCTCTGGGGCTCACTGGTCAACAAACCTTACCTCATGCGTGAGCTCCAAGCCAATCAGAAATTCCATTTCAAACCAACAGTGCGGAGCAGCACCACACGCTGACCTCTGACCTCCACATGCACACTGAAGAGTGTGCATGCACTCCCACGTTCACGTGTCGTGCTGACTAGTGTTTTCTCAACCTGTCACAAGCTAGAGTCATTGGGAAGATAGAACCTTGACTGAGAAAACATCCCCCACGCATGTGCACAAGTCTGTGTGGGCATTCTTTTCTTTATTACTGGTTGATGGAGAGTGCCAGAGCTCACTCTGGCACACTGTGCACAAGTTACCCTGGCTGGGGTAAGAAAGCAGGCTGTGCAAGCCATGAGGAGCAAGTCAGTAAGCATCACACTCCCATGGCTTCTGCTTCAGCTCCTGCCTCCAGGCTCCTGCCTGGAGTTCCTGTCCTGACTTCCTCCAGTGATGGAGTGAGACCTGAGAGTTGTAAGGTGAAATCAACCCTTTCCTCCCCAGGTTGCTTTTTGGCCATGGCGTTTTTTTTATGACAGCAATAGAAACTCTTAACTAAGATACATGTACATCGTCACCTGCACAAAAAAGAAATGAAAGATAAAAAAAAAGAGGAGGAGGAGGAGGAGGAGGAGGAGGAGGGGAGAGGAGAGGAGGAGATTGGAATCAGAGGACTGAGCTTGAAAAAGCAAGTGTTCGCTGCTGACAGAAACAGACGGTTGTCACGTGACTTAGTGCTGTGCTTCCTACATGAGCCACCTCCGCCACTCCAGGCTTACTTTCTTAAGCTTATTAAGAGAGAAATGCGCCGGCCCTGGTGGCGCAGGCCGGTGAAGGAGGCAGAGGCAGGTGGATCTGGAGTTCGAGGCCAGCCTGGACTACACATTTAGAAAAAAGAGAGAGAGAGAGAGAGAGAGAGAGAGAGAGAGAGAGAGAGAGAGAGAGAGAGAAATGCACCTTCTGAAAGATGAATGCATCTTAACGTTCGGATGCTACAGGACGAGAACATGCTGGGATGCAGCCCCGAATGCCCGTATGCCCGCACTAGACAGGAGGTTCTGGAAAGGGCACTAAATTGAAGGCTGATCTTCCCTTGCGGGAGGGAGCCCCATTTGGCACTTTGCTGGATGTGCACCCAAAAGGCTACAGCTTGAGCCCAGGGTGCCCCAACATATCAAGAAAAGCCACAAGCCACTGAGGCTCCCACATCTGTTTCTAAACTTCGAACACAGAATAAACACCCAGCTCCAACAAACCACTGAGCTGGCAGGAGAATATGACAGACTAAAAAGCCCTTTGCTGCTCAAAAAGGCAGGAAACCATATCAAGGTGGAGAGCGAGGGGCGCCCTCCTATGATGTGGTCAGAATTTTCAAAGCCATATTTCCCAGTCATTCTTGGGTCCCTTTAATGTTGTGGCCAAAAGCTGGATCCAATTCTTGTGGGCAAGCAGGTTGCGGTGGCAGGAGCGATGTGCTGGGTGCCGTCCCCTCTCCTCCCACCTGCGTCTGTCTGCTATCAGAGCGGTGGGACAGGCTGACGAGGAAGGTGGCCTTGTACTACTGCTCCGCAGATGGCACTGACACTTGAGGACAGGGTGGGTCGGGTTGCCCAGGGCACATCCTCTTGAGCCTGCTATTAGTACTCACGGACATTGCAGACTGATGAGCTCATGCGGGGGAAAACAGAAATGTTTTTGAAAAAGCCAGTTTGGCAGCTTGCACGGTGCGGCTGGTTTTCGGTGCAGGAAGAAAGCAGAGGCTCTCTCTCTCTCTGGAGCTTTCGCCCTGGGAGGGAGCTACACTCACTCAGATTCATTCCTGGGAACAGGAGGCCTAGCAACTGGGAGGAAGGAAGCAGAGCTCCTGGTATCCACAGACCCCTCGCAAGGAGAAATCCCCTAGTCCCAAGGAGTACACTCAAGACAAAAGCAATTCAGTGTCCCGCCTGATACTGTTCTTCGGAAGGATGGCTACTCTCCTGGTTTTCAACATCAGTAAAAAACAGTTTTCTAAATCAAAGACCAAAAAGGAAACATCCCTGCCCACAAAATGGGTCTCAAGGCTTGAAATAAAAAATTAACCAAGAAATTGAAGTGTACAACAGCTGGAGTGAAGGCGGCAATGGTTTCAAGGCTCCCCGCAGGGCTAGTGATGCAGCTCTGGGACAGGGGCTGGCTACCCAGCCTGAGGACCCGAGCTGGATGCTTGGGAGGACCACTTCCTGAAAACTGTTCTCGGATCTCCACACGTGCACCGTGGCAAGTGCACACCCACACGCATGCACACACCCGTTTCCCCACATTTAAGACACAAAAAGCTTCCTGTGGCCCAGAGATATCACCTGGGCATCTACCTCAGGACCAAAGGAAGACTGAATCTCGTTACAGAACAGGCTTACCCACCCATGGTACCTGCCCCTGTGTCCTAGCAGAGGAGCTAAAGTCTCTAAAAGGTGCTGGCCAGCAGGGAGGCGGGGCAGCTTGGGTCAGAGCCTGGGGCTCACGTAGCATCAATGCGATGATTACAATTATTTATGATAGCTGTTTCCTCTTTGGTGCTTACAGCTGGGGACTCTGCTGAAGATTTTAAACAGCCCCCCCCCGCAATACTTGGATATCATTATCCATGCTATTTTACCTGAAGAAATAAATCTCAGGCAGTTAAGAAACTTGCATGTAATTAGTAAGTGGCAAAGCTGGGATTTGAACCCACACCTTTTATGCCGTGGGCCTTCCGTAATCGAATCTTGTCCTTGCCAACATTCTGGATGTGCTCCCCCACTGTCCAGGTCAGGGGTCATACAGGGCTGTATTTAGATCATACAAGGTCTTCGATTTTCTATAAACAGTGCCGTTTGTTTTTAATAATTCAAACAAAAGGACTACAACCAGTTCATTAAGCCTGTGGTTTCACGTATATTCTGTGATGGCCAAAAACTTCAGGTAGTGCCTGATCCCTAAATCCATATTGCATTTCCCCCTATTCTCAGTTCCCACAACAAAGATTAGCTTGCAAATCAACATAAGAGACAAGAGTCAGCTGTTAATAAATAAAATTCTAACAGTTCACTGCAATGTAAGGCCAGTTGCTTACTTCTGGGATGTTCCATGCAATATTTTTGAGCTGGGTTGATTCTGGATAAACGAAGCCTCGGATGGGAAGACTAGCATACCTATGATGAGGTTCTATTTATGTTTGCAAGGAACTTAATGTAAAGAAGGAAGTAGTCAGTACGTAAATGTGCTGGTGAGTTCAGGTGAGCTCAGGTTTTGGTGACCAGCCGTGAATGTCCCTAGTCTAGGAACCACGGAGGCAGGGGAACTTCCTTTACACAGCTTGGCCAAGAAGCTGAGCTTCAGGGAGACGGTCTGACTTTAAGATGAAAAGGATGAAGTCCTGCGGCATGGCCACTCAGTATCTATGTCCAAAGACCAAACAGACCCATGGCCACACAAAACAAGCACCTCAGATGCTTCCAGCCACATCCCATGGTCCCTCAGTAAGGGGAACAGTGAAGACAGACCCCCCCCCCACCTGCCCAGTGCCTGTACTCACTGCCAGGATCGCGCGATCCCTTTCCAGGAGATCAGCCAGCTTGTGCAACAACTGGCCTCGTCTCAGGGCATCCAGCTGGCGCCATGGGGAGTCCCGCTGGAAGGCAGCTTGTGCGGCCTCCACAGCCTTGTCCACATCGGGCTGCATGGCGAAACAGAGAGACTGTGTCACTTTTCAGGTGGCCGCAGTCTGAGGGCACAGCAGTGTCTTGCCGTGGAGCCAAGGAAGGAAGGGAAGCCCATAGCTTCAAGCAACAAGCTTTTAAATCCTTTGGATGACTGGGGGCTTCCAAGTAATGTCTTTTCTTTGCATGGTAAGTATTTTAAAATATTTCTGTAATGGTCAAGTATTAATGTTTTATAGAGTCATTGACCTTAAATATTTTTCTTGATGACCCAGCTCTAAAAGGTTTTCCAGGGCAGCGAGATGATAGCATATCTGGTAGACGGTTTGCTGTGAAAACCTGAAGACCCGAGTTCAGTTCCCAGAATCCATAATGCAAAGGGAGAAACGACTCCCAGAAGCTGCCCTCTGACCTCCCAGAGAACACAGGAGTGTCTGCAGGCACACACATGTCACATACACACTAACAATAAGGAAAATAAAATGCAAAATTAAAAAGATTTTCCATGCACCAGCTCCATTTCAGCGCACACAGAGACCCCATTTCCACTCTAAGTGTTATACTTACAGGAGAATAGTAACCACGGGTCTTGGTGATTTTATTTTTATGCTGAGAATTGAATTGGAGCCTTGCATGTGCTAGAGAAGCCTTCACTATTGAGCCTCTGCCCTCAGTCTTTTAAAAGGGCGGAAGCGAGAGGTCTACAGAGGAGAGGCACCTGCCCTCACTTCAGGAACGCGTGCTCTGAAGATCTGGTGCTGATGGGCAGTGGTTCACCCTGCCGGGAGCCTGTTTCCCTTGGGTGATGTGGCAGGTAGTTGATGAGGATCCCAGCCAGGAGAGGCCTCTGCTAGGACCATCCCCAAAGGCTTCACGGAATGAGGGGAAGCTTTAGCAGGGGAAATGTTGGACACTGTGGTTCTTGTCCTGGTTCCCGAGGGGAGGCCAGGGCCTCTCCGGCTGCAAGGGACAGGCAGCCTCTGTCTCTGGGTGTATAGAGCAAAATGTTCGTCCAGTGGATGGGAGGAGCCAGTGCCTGCCACAGGGTTCCTACTTTCCTCCTGGGGTTTATCAGTTTTACACCCGCCTGTTGGGCCCTCCCAGCTTCCTCCCAGCTCCTCCCCAGTTCTTTGCTTTGCAGTGTAAGGAGCCGCAGAGAGTAGGGTCTGTGCAGGTGAGCCACTGTGCTTCCTGCAGATCCAAAAGCTGTCTCTTGTGGGAAGAAAGTCCACATCTTCTTCCCTTAGGCCTCACCAATGCACCTAGTAAGGATATCTGCCTGCTCAGCAGGTGTGATGGCACACACCTATAACCTCAGCTCACGGGAGGTGGAGGCAGGAAGATCAAGAGCTGGAGGCAAGACTGCTAAGTAGAGAACTATCTCAAGATACCAGGGGCTGAGGGTGGGAGGGTGTTGCTCAGCACTGGAGTGTTTACCCAGCATGCAAAAGGCCCTGGGGTTGACCTGCAACCCTCCCCTACTTCCCCCAATATCTAGCATCTGTAGTTCCAGGAAGATCCCCCAGAAACCTAGGAATTTTCCTCTAGCCTGGAAAATAATGCAAGATGGTATCTCAGAATGGGGGGGGGGAGAAAAAGGGGACAGGGGAAGGAAAGGGCAATGGTGATGGGAAGGGATGGAACAGAAGAGAGGGAAGGTGGCGAAGAAAGAGAAGAAGGGGGCCGGACGGTGGTGGCGCACGCCTTTAATCCCAGCACTTGGGAGGCAGAGGCAGGCGGATCTCTGTGAGTTCGAGACCAGCCTGGTCTACAAGAGCTAGTTCCAGGACAGGCTCCAAAACCACAGAGAAACCCTGTCTCGAAAAACCA